CAAAGAAGGATGGTACATCTCGCATCATCTCGTCAGCCATAACGGGAAGAACCGCCTCGTCTTTAATTGCTCCCACCAGTACCTTGGGCAGACCCTGAACCAGTACCTACTACCTGGCCCTACCCTTGGTGCCCCATTGCTGGGAGTCTTACTGAGATTTCGTGAACATCCCATAGCAGTTAGTGGAGACATCAAGGGGATGTTTCATCAAGTCCGCCTCCTTACTGAAGATCGCCCTCTTCTAAGGTTCCTGTGGCGGGACCTGAAGGTGGATGAGCCCCAAGAACATTTGAGTGGCAAGTTTTGCCTTTTGGCGCCACATGCAGCCCGTGCTGTGCGACCTATGCCCTGCAGCGCCATGTTGTTGACCACTGCCAGCCAGATGATGATCTGAGATTCTCGGTTGAGAACTGCTTTTACGTCGATAACTGCCTTCAGAGCACGTGTACGCCGGGCAAAGCCAAACTGCTGGTCGATCGGCTCAGGGATCTTCTGGCATCTGCAGGCTTTGAGTTGCGTCAATGGGCTTGCAATGATCCAGGCGTCCTGAGACACTTGCCTCAAGAGGCCAGATCTGAAAGCCTAGACCTGTGGCTGGCACAGGACAAGTCCGACCCTCTGGAGTCAACACTCGGTCTCAGCTGGAATTGGGCAACTGACTCTTTGGGCTACAAACATAGGCCTGTGGCTTACGAGGTCCCTACTTTGAGGAACATTTATAGAGTACTAGCTACTCAATATGATCCCTTGGGCTACATGTTACCGTTCTCCACCCGAGCAAAGATTATCATCAGGCAGCTGTGGGAAAAGAAGCGAGGTTGGGATGACTCTAACTTACCCATCGAACTCCTGCAAGCCTGGTCCAGTTGGGAGGCTGAACTTGAGTCCCTACCTCTTCTTACATTTCCGCGTGCATATGTTCCGCTGGATGCCAACCTGGAGGGGGCCACCCGTGAGGTGCACATCTTTGCAGATGCCTCTGAACAAGCTTATGGAGCTGTAGCCTACATGAGAACTGAGAACAAGGAAGGCCAGATCCACCTGTCTTTCATCCTTGCTCGTTCACGAGTAGCTCCAAGACGTCTGCATTCTATCCCACGCCTGGAGCTTTGTGGAGCTCTGGTCGCAGCGCAGCTGGCTCATATCCTCGAGAGGGAACTTACCTTAACAGTGGCTCGAACTGTATTGTGGTCAGACTCCACTACAGTACTAACCTGGCTACACTCCCAGTCATGCCGCTACAAGATCTTCGTGGGCGCCAGAATAGCGGAGATACAAGAGTTAACGGAGAAGTGTACTTGGCGCTACGTGGACTCTGCAAACAATCCTGCCGATGATCTGACGAGAGGGAAGACCTTGGAGGCCCTAATAGTTCCCAACCGATGGTCTCAAGGACCCCCTTTCCTTCTCCAAAATCCGGCCAACTGGCCAGAAAGACCCAGCACCGAGCCGTTAGAGGCCAAAGGTGAACTTCGGAAGGCCACATTCTGTGGAGTAGCGATTACCTCACCCGTGTCCATCAGCAAGGATGACAAGGTGTACCAAACCTGGCAAGAGCTCTTAGATGCCACTGCTCAAGAAATCCTAGGGCAAACTCCTTCCAATTCACTGCCTAATGCTGAAGAGTACAAACAGGCAGAGATAGTCATTCTTCAGCGAGCCCAACAACAGTCATTTCCAGAGGACTATAAACTCCTTGCAGCAGGGAAACCCGTCTCACCTGGGAGTCGATTACTTACCTTGGCTCCGGAGTTAGATAAATCCACAGACCTTATAAGAGTAGGAGGTCGGCTCCGACGCCTGGAAGGTCAATATGACTTGACATTGCACCCTGTTGTTCTGGATGCCACACACCCAGTTACTCGCTTGCTTATCCAGAGGTATGATAGCAACCTGCAGCATCCTGGTCCTGAGCGAGTATTTGCAGAGATGCGGCGGTCATTCTGGATAATCCATGGAAGGGAGGCGATTCGCAGATACCAGCGTTCTTGTGCCGAATGTCAGCGCTGGAGAGCTCAGCCTTCCATTCCCCGAATGGCGGACCTTCCCGCTGCTCGTCTCAGATTACACAAACCTGCCTTCCACTCCACTGGTGTGGATTGTTTTGGGCCCATGTTTGTGAAGATGGGCAGGCGTCAGGAGAAACGCTGGGGAATAATATTTAAGTGTTTAACGACCAGGGCAGTACACTTGGATCTCCTCAGAAGTATGGATGCGGATGCTTACTTGATGGCCCTAAGACGATTCATCGCCAGAAGAGGGACACCTGCAGAGTTGTTGTCCGATCAGGGGACCAATTTCAGAGGAGGAGAGCGGGAACTTAGAGAGGCTTTTGCTAGTATGGAGCCAACCTTGCGGGAACAACTCGCACGTCAGAGGATTAAGTTCCAGTTTAACCCCCAGCAGCTCCACACTTTGGAGGAGTGTGGAGAGAGAGGTCCGCTCTGTCAAGTCTGCACTTTATACCTGTGTGGGAGCCCAACCTGTTCATGAAGATGTCCTTCTCACAGTTCTCCTGGAAGTTGAGACAATTCTCAAATCTAAACCATTGGGTTATGTATCTGCCGATATTGCGGATATCGACCCTGTGACACCCAATAGTCTGCTTATGGGGCGGCCCGATGGATCCCTTCCCCAAGTAGTTTATCCTGAGACGGAGCTCCTGAGCCGTAGACGCTGGCGGCATTCACAAGTTCTCGCTGACCAATTCTGGTCCAGGTTCATCAGAGAATACCTCCCTGGGCTACAGACCAGACAGAAATGGCACTCTGCTTCTCCTGAACTACCGGATAAGGCCGTTGTCATGCTGGTGGACCCGCAGTTACCTCGAGCCCTGTGGCCCATTGGGCATGTAACCAAAATTCACCGCAGCGATGATGGGTGCATTAGATCTGCTGATGTGGACATCAAAGGACATGTATACACCCGACCGGTAGCGTGGTTGGTGATGTTGCCAGCTCTCCCGTCTGGGGAGGACGATGCATCTGTGAGCCCTACTCAGCCTGACTGATAAACCTTTTAATGGATACAAATGTGCTCGCACATTTGGATGCGGCTGTATAAAAGGCTTTGACATTTTTGGGTGCCTGCCGCTTTAAGACTCTTCTTCTATGGTTACGGTAAAGGAAGTGACGTGTGTGTTGGCTCGAGTGAGAAGAGAGAACGAGTTCAAGTTAACAGTTGCAGTTTAGCCCTCGTACATGGGTTGATTAGTCTGTATAGTTCATCCTGAGAAATCCAGCTTCCAGTATTCCATGTATTTAGTGAATGAAGAAAAGTAAGTGACTGTTATTTTGTTGTGTTTAGGTTTCTATATCGTAGATTTACCGTGTATTTACATGTGCCCAGCGAGATGAGTGAGATGTCTGTTGTTAGAATAATGTTCATGCTGTAAATGCTGTGGGAGATAATATAGCTAACTTGTGTGAGCCTTCAAGTTACGTGCTAATGTTTATTTTATTTTAGTTAAAGAGTTAATATCGTGCTCAGGAGACCATGTGCGATCTTTTATGTGTAGTAGCCTTGTCTGGCCAGAGGATGTCGCTATTATCTTTTCTTTAAACCCCCTTTTAAAACAGTATTATGGAAACTGGTTAGTGAAATGGGTAAAACTCTTTATTTCTTTATAAGGAATAATATTTATGTAATTGGAGATTGTTTAAAGGGGCATAGCAATGCCAATTGAGATATTTATGTTTAATGAGCCAGATTTGTATTTTGTGTGTGGATTTATTATTCATGTTGCATAATAATTTAGTACTGTTTAACTGTTTAAACTACAGTAACTAATTGTGATTTATTCTGTTTTATCAGACTGTAATGACAATACTGGATATTGGAATGTTCTGATGAGTACGACTGGAATTAATACAGATAAAGAAGGAAATTACATCTCCTCGTCTTTATTCCTGTGTCCTGACCGATACACCATCCTGTTTACTGGCTAAAACCCTTTATGAACTAGCCCTACTTGATTACCTCACTAACACCTAGCAACCACCCAGAAAACCGTAGCAACAACAACCCAGAATACCCTAGCAACGGGGTGGTGAGATTTGCCGCTTCAAGCTCCACTTCACATTTTCTTCTGGAAATGTGCCAGAAATGTGTTCCTGGAGGTCAAAAAAGTATCTATGTATCTATTTTATCTGATGTTATAGTCAGACTCCTTCTGACTATAACATCTGAAGGAGTCTAAAAGTTTATATTGTTTAAAACCTTTTAGGAACCTTTGATCAGAAATGAGTTCAATAGGTCAGATATGGGTCTATGATTATGTATGGAAAGTTTAAGATCAAGTACTTTTGGGCCAGAAACATGTTCAGTAGGTAAAATATTTTTCTGGCTGAAATGACATCATGAGAAGTAAATCTCCAACCAACCAAGAACACCCTAGCAACCACCAAGCAAAAGCCTAGCAACCAACCAGAACACCGTAGAAACAAACCAGAACACCCCAGCAACCATCTGGCAACACCCTAGCAACCACCCAGAACACCCCAGCAACCGCCTAAAACCCTAGCAACAACCCAGAACACCTTCGCAACCACCTAGGAACACCCTAGTAACCACCCAGAACACCCTAGCAACACCCTAGCAACCACCCTGAATACCCTAACAACCACCTTGCACTGTAAAAAGTAATAAGTTGACTTTACTAGGAAAAGCTGTGGAAACTGATTGCCTCAAATTTTTCAAGCAAATTAGGTCATAATATTTGACTTGATACTACTCTCTATTACTTTGTAGAGTGAACTTGTATATTATGTAACCAGTACTCAAGTTTTATGGTAACCTCTACAAATAAACTAAAGTTTAGGCAACTTACAGATTTAAGTTGAGATTTGTAAGCATAACTTAAACAAAACAGTTATTTTTAACTTAACTGCTTGTTCCTTTTACTAGAGGAATGTGTGGAAACTGATTGCCTTAAATTTCTCAAGCAAGTTGTACTCAAAATTCTAAGTTGAGAATACAAAGAAAGACAACAGATTTTTGCAAAACACTAGAATGTTTATTGGTTCAACATTTTAAAACATTCCTTAAGGCATGCCCGTAAACATGGCTCGCCAGCAACATTTTAGAAATAATGCAAACAATGCACTCAAGAAAAAACAATGTTTCTTTGTTTTAACAGCTTTACAAAGTGGTCGAAGTCACTGAGTTTGTTACAGAATGTCTTTCCAGTTCTCTTTAAAATTCTCTTCCAATAAAACTCTATTCTAAAACCAAACAAGTAAACTTGAAATTCAAAACATCCTGTTAAAGGAACACTTTTTTTCAAATTAAACTATATTATTCCCTTAACTAAGACGAGTTGAAACATACCTCTCGTCTCAGTGTGTGCACTCAATCACATGGTGCATGGCGACACTTTGATAGCACTGAGACGAGAGAGGTATGTTTCAACTCGTCTTAGTTAAGGGAATAACATAGTTTAATATGAAAAAAAGGTGTTCCTTTAAATATGGATTTTTTTTCTTCTTTCATTTTCAACAATTGGAAAAAACTGAAGTATCTGTAAAACAGTACTGAACAATTTGCTCGAACAGACTGCTCTATTCACTCAAAGCAACAGGACTATGATCTATTACTGCATCAGGCGATTTTTCAGTGATTGGATTTTAGGTTTGAGTGACTTGTGGCCAAGGGACAAAATAACTCTCTGTATGAAGTCGAATGTGCTCTTCAGTGCTGCAGGATACTCTAAGTTTAGAGCATAAATTAGTCCAAAGAGCAAACACATTGCTTGTGGAAGATTTTCAATATCATCCACAACCACAGTACCTTCCAAAACGATTGCGTTGTTGTGGCATCAAGATGCAGGGAGTAGGGTACGGCAGCGGTTGCAGAGTCCTCGGTAATCACTGTCAGAATACCGATTTCAATGTTGGACAAATCTTCTTTGTCATCATCACAGTCCTAAAAATGGGAATAGCATATAACAAAAATGAGCTCAAAGAAAGCCACAAAACATATTTTAAAGGGATATTTCACTCAATATGAAAATCTTGTCATAATTTACTCACCCTCAAGTTGTTCTAAACCTGCACGAGTATTTTTTTTTTCACCTGTTGAACTGAAATTAGATATTTTGATGAATGTTGGTAAACAGACAGTTGAGAGTAGCCATTGACTTCCATAGTAGGAAAAAAATACTAAGGAAGTCAATGGCTACTCTCAACTGTTTGATTAAAGGAGTAGTTCACTTCTCAAAAAAAAACTTTTGCTGATAATTTACTCACCCCCATGTCATCCAAGATGTCCATGTCATTCTTTCTTCAGTCGAAAAGAAATTAAGGTTTTTGATGAAAACATTCAAGCATTTTTCTCCATGTAATGGACTTCAATGGGAACCAAACGGTTCAAGGTCCAAAAGACAATTTCAGTACAAACTGCAAACTGTTCAAAGGGCTTTAAACGATTCCAGACGATGAATAAGGGTCTTAACAAGCCAAATGAGCGCTCATAATTTTTTTTTTTTTTTAAAGTTTAAGTTTTATAAGCTCAAATGCTCGCCTTGCTCTGTACTGCGATGCACGTTCGTGACTCTCCTGTTCGAAGTCGTTCATCAAATGAATGAATCTTTTACCGAGTCAGAACCAAATGACTCGGAAAAAGATTTGTTCATTTTGATGAACGAGTTCGAACAGGAGAGTCACGAACGTGCATCACAGAACAGAGCAAGGCGACCATTTGAGCTTATAAAACTTAAACTTTGTTATTTATTTTTTTTAATGAGCGCTCGTTTCGCTAGATAAGACCCTTATTCATCGTCTGGAATCGTTTAAAGCCCTTTGAACAGTTTGCAGTTTGTACTGAAATTGTCTTTTGGACCTTGAACCGTTTGGTTCCCATTGTAGTGCATTACATGGAGAAAAATGCTTGAATGTTTTCATCAAAAACCTTAATTTCTTTTCGACTGAAGAAAGAAAGACATGGACATCTTGGATGAAATGGGGGTGAGTAAATTATCAGCAAAAGTTTTTCAAAAGTGAACTACTCCTTTAACAACATTCTTCGAAATTTCTTCTTTTGTGTTCAACAGAAGAAAGAAACTCATGCAGGTTTTGAACAACATAAGGGTGATTACATGATTACATTTTTTTTGGGTGAACTATCCTTTTAAGAGCACATACTCATTAAAATGTGGAACTAAATTAAAAACACTGTTTTATGTCTAAATGTAAAGGCCTTTTCAAACAGGACACAGCAGTGGATGCAGGGGGGGATACATATTAAACCACTGCATGAAAAGACAAATAAAACTGAAGGCCAGTTATAAAAATTAAAAATGTTTTAAAATTATCAAATGTATTCTTTCTTATAAATGTTTTTTTTATTCATTTCTTTATGTAATATAAAATGTATCTTGTTACTGTCTTTTTTCCTCTAAATTTTTAAATTTATCTTTCACCTTTTCTATAACCCATACTTTGTTGCAGTTTCCTGACTGTTTATCTTGCCTTCATAACTCTTCTTGCCAGAGATCAAAACTGTTTGAAGAACAGTTTGCCAGTAAAATAAGAATCACATCAGAGGAGAAAATACTTACAAAACATGTCTTGTAAAAATCGGTGGGGTCCTCTCCGAGAAGGAGCGGTAGGCCATGAAGAACGGCTGTTCGTTCCGCGTTGATGTTGGATTTCTGTAAAGTTATAAAAATGTATATTGAACAGCGCTCATGACACTAGCACAAGACAGAGCAAAAAACAACAACGGCAAAAGCAACATTTGATTTGCTATCAAAACATTTGTGATATTTCGAGGAGCTTACGTCATTTTGAATCTGCTGAAGAATCTTATTAAGTTTGGAGCCGATTTCTCCACCTTTAGCCTTGAAGATATTGATGAAACGTTGAGTGAATCTGTCCAGTTCTTGAAAGAATTCAGTTTGCAGGTTTTTGCCAGATATACGACTAAACTCTGCAAGGATCTAAAAAAAAAAGAAGGAAAAAAAAGAAAAGAAAAAGTAGGACAAACTGATATTAAAAACGGACTTTTTACTGTAAAAGTAAGTCTAAGTATGATTAAACACGAAAAGTGGTTAAAGGAGTAGTTCACTTTTAAAAAAAAACTTTTGCTGATAATTTACTCACCCCCTTGTCATCCAAAATGTCCATGTCTTTCTTTCTTCAGTCGAAAAGAAATTAAGGTTTTTGATGAAAACATTCCTGCATTTTTCTCCATATAATGGACTTCAATGGGAACCAAACGGTTTAAGGTCCAAAAGACAATTTCAGTACAAACTGCAAACTGTTCAAAGGGCTTTAAACGATTCCAGACAATGAATAAGGGTCTTATCAAGCGAAACGAGTGGCCATTTAAAAAAAGTTTTAAGCTCAAATGGTCTCCTTGCTCTGTTCTGTGATGCATGTTCGTGACTCTCCTGTTTGAACTCATTTATCAAAATGAACAAATCTTTTTTCGTGTCATTTGGTTGATTCAACGTACGAAATGAACAAGTTGACTAGGGAAAAGATTCGTTCATTTTGATGAACGAGTTTGAACAGGAGAGTCACGAACGCGCATCACAGAACAGAGCAAGGCGACCATTTGAGCTTATAAAACTTAAACTTGTTTTTTTAAATAAGCTTTCGTTTCACTTGATAAGACCTTTATTCATCGTCTGGAATTGTTTAAAGACCTTTGAACAGTTTGCACTGAAACTGTCTTTTGGACCTTGAACCGTTTGGTTCCCATTGAAGTCCATTAAATGGAGAAAAATGCTGGAATGTTTTTATCAAAAACCTTAATTTCTTTTCCACTGAAGAAAGAAAGACATGGATACCTTGGATGACATGGGGGTGAGTAAATTATCAGCAAAAGTTTTTTTTAAAAGTGAATTACTCCTTTGATGATCAATTTGCTTTGTAAATGTTCAAGATAAAAGGGATAGTTCACTTTGAAATTAATTTTTGATATGTTTTATCTTATCTCAAGGGCATCCAAGATGTAGGTGTCTTTGTTTCCACAGTATTTTCAGTTTTGATATTTTAGGTCAAACCGTTCTTGTCTGTCAGTCATATAATGGAGGTCTATGGTCACCACCTCAAAGAGCATGCACAGAGAAGTCCAAATTAAACATGATTTAATGACTGATAAATGTAAGTACACATTGAAGGCCTAAGACACTAAACGAGCGGTTTGTGTGAAAATAACGAACAGTATTTATATCGTTTATACCTCGTGTAACCACAGCCATGTCCAACTGATCTGACGGCACGGGCGCTTCCGGAAGTGATCTCTCGTGTGTGTACAATACTCATTGTTTAGACAGAGAATTCGGAAGTTTTACCTTTCAGTGTGAATATCTAAAATATTTAGATATATCGAAATCGTCTTCCATTGCGATTTCCTGTATATCTAAATATGTTTAGTGAAAGGTAAAACTTCCGAAATCTCTGTGTAAACAATGAGTGACGTACACGCACGAGAGATCACTTCTGGCGCTTGTGCAGACCGAAGCGCCCGTGCTGTCAGATCAGTTGGACATGGCTGTAGTTACACGAGGTAAAAATGATATAAATACTGTTCGTTTTCTCACACAAACCATTAGTTTAGTTTCTTATGCGTACTTACATTTACGAGTCATTAAATCATGTTTAATTTGGACTTCTCTGTGCATGCTCTTTGACGTGAACCGAGGGAGGACACCATAAAACTCCATTATATAACTGACAGACAACAACGGTTTGACCGAAAAATATCAAAATTGAAAATACTGTGGAAACAAAGACACGTGCATCTTGGATGCCCTTGAGGTAAGATAAAACATATCAAAAATTAATTTTAAAGTGAACTATCCCTCTAAATTATATAGGAAAGCAATAAAGACTCACCTGACTCTGTGTGAAGAGGGCTGGCCACCTTTCAACTGTAATCTTCACAGCAGGCTCCTTCTCTACCAATTCCTTCCTACGCAGGGCAAATGTTGAATTCATGTTCCGGGATATCAGTGCGGCATTAAGACGACGTTTCTTCATGTCTTCCACCATCTCTTTTCTTTTGGACTCCATGCTGGCTTCATCTTCACCATCAGGGAAATTCGGTAGAAAATTGATTTCAAACCTCTTAGGTCTTTTGATGTTTTTCTGAGGCTGCAGTCCTCTTCTTTTCCCACCATTTATGGATACCTCCAAACATCCAGCTCGACGCAGTTTTGAGCGGTAATTACCCATTTTCCATCTAAGGCTATCATACCACCCATTCCACCCCTTGGATGAGCCAGGCTGGGTAAGACAGGGATGTTTTTGTATCAAAGCAGTAGCAACAGCCTCGAAATCTTCCTTATCTGGGTAAGCTTTGTAACCGTATATTGTCTCCGAGAGTTTTTCGAGAATCTCATGCTTAAGCTCTCCTGACAATTGTAGATATGTTTGATCTCGCATGTACAGTAGATTTCCCTGACGTAATCTGTATTCAACGTCAACAGGAAAAGTAGGGATCTCGAAAGTTTCTGGCCATGCAGTACGTAGACAATGAAGTGGAGGATCAGAAGCCACAGACAGGACTTCAGTGTCAGCTGTGCTAGGGGTTGGTGTCGTCACAAGGGAGACAATCTTCAGTGTGGGCTTATCTGGCAAGTCAGTAATGTCGGTAAGATTCACGAGGGAATTGTTGAAGTCTGGATCCTCAAACTGAAGTGCGAACTTGTACTGAAGTCCCAGCTTTTCTTCAAGTTGTTCCAACAGTGAGTCAACGGTCTGTGGTTTCATAGGAAGTACAATTTTTCTGATGTCGTTGTCACAAACTATAACTCTGAGTACGGTTGTTGTCTCCATTCTTGTTCTTTCTACAAAAGGTAAAGAAATTAGTTAGTTTTCTTAAAATAAAGAGACTGCTTACCCCAATTTCATCATTCTAAACCCATCCTTTGGGAAAAATATGATTTGAAAAAGTTCCACTCATCCCTTTTTATATTTTAAGAAGTACACAGAGGCATTAATAATTTCATGTGACTTGTGCAATACAGTTCAAGCATTAAGGGCATACATGGGATTGTTGAGAAATTAACTTCAATATAATCAATTTAACTGTATATCCTGTGTGAAGGTTTGCTGGTTTGCTGCTTTGCACAGGAGAATTTGTTCAAGATTGATATACTTTTTTTAAAAAAAACTATTTATAAAACTTGAACAAACTATACTTTGCAAAGGAGCACCCGTTCACACAGTATAGCATTAAATTGCGGCTCTCTCACGAGTGCATACAGGATGTTACAATTTAAAGAAAATAAATAACATTTCAGTTTGTTTCTCACCAAACCTATTGATCTACTATTTGAACCAATAGTATAATGAAATTACATATGCTTCTGTGTCCTCCTAAAGCTTGAGAAACTTTGCCCACTATTTTCTGACACAGTACTGACAAAAGCAGTCAGAAATCTTTTCAAAAATAATATTTTTTGTCTACAGAATAAGAATGAGAGTAAATAATGATTTTGAAGTCCCTTTAAAACATGAATTGTCATTCATTCAGCATGTGATATAATGTTTGAGCGTAACGTAGGTCCTGCCCCGAATTGTATAGGCTGGCAAAGGAAATGGGTCATTTAGATCTGAGGGTTTGGTAATTGACAGTGATAGCACATGACTGCACAGTTCAAAAGAACGTAGGTGCTCAATGTACCAACATGTCAGATCTTTACACACAAACAGAACATCACTTTTGATGACAAGAATTTTGAAAATCTGTTTGAAATCAGGTAGACCTGAACAAGTACCAACAGATACAACCATATCTGGATTGTACTTGATTCCATCAATGCTCACAGATGATGCTGCGAGGACAGTGTTCTGAACTGCATATTTGTGTCTCAGGAATTCCTGAATGTTCTGAGGGAAAGTTGACATCAAAGTACCCATCACCTTATTTGTCTCAATTGGTGGCTTGAGAAAGGAGGGGGAGTCAATGTGGTAAGCCACCAGTCTTTGATGGCGAACAGCCAAAGTTTGTGTAACATTTTTAAAGTTCTTGGTGTCACGGATTACCTGCTTGAAGACTTTATGTTTTCCCTCAAATCGCATCGTCCACATATCTCTAAGTGGTCCATGCATTCTTATGAGCTGCGGATAGTGCTCAATGTAGTGGTGTTTGGGTCGCAATTTGAAATTAAAGCTGCAAGCAGCATTTAGCGGGGTTCAAGCAGTTTAGGCCTTTAAGACCTTTAAGCACAAAAGCATCAAAAGACATTACGTTTTATGTAGAAAGCATGATTTACCATGATATACCATATTTAGAGTCAAGTATATCTCCATCTTTGTTCAAAGAAAAAAAAATGATCCTACTTTATGATGCTAGTTTTAATTTAAAAAGAAAAAAAATTAAAAGGAAATTTCTTTGGCATTTCTTTCTTTTTGTTGTATCTAAAACGAACTGAACCATGACACCAATGTATCGCACACAAAATTGTATACACTGAACTGTGAATTTTGTGGACTGTTGCACCCTACCGTTTTTTTTTTTTGGGATGAATGATTCAACAATGATTCAATTTCCGCAATTTGTGAAGAAAAATAAAAACTTTCAAACCCAATACTGGAATACAAATGGATTCTGATTCTGAATCCAATACAAATGGAATCTGATATTGGATTTGACTCAGAACACAATGCTTCACAATTCCTCCCAATAATCCACCTTGACTTTCAGTAGTAGATGGAAAATATTGGAAATGGAAAACACCATTTACAGCCAATACAGGCAATTTACCATTGGAAATGCATGGTTTTAAAGCTTTTTAAAAGTTATAGCGCCACCTATGGTTTGATCTCCATGAAACTGTGCATGCTTCTTCAGCATGTTATGTCACATACGCTCATCAATTTTTGTGAAGTTCTGAGTTTTTATTTATTATTTATAGGCTTTTGATTGAGTGCATAAAGACAAAAAATATAAGAATAAGAATGTAGCCTACTGATGAAAGATTGTGTCTGCTTTGTTTTATAAGAAATATTTCTATGTCAAGAATTCCAAATTTCCTGTACTCTCAAATTTTGAATAGTAGTGCTGTTGGCGCAGCCATTTTCGTAGATTATAACCGGTTATTTTTAGTAGATAATACGGAGGAAAAACACATGGACATCACTCGGCTTTCTGTTAAACCGGAACAATCCACCTTTATTAACATATACCCATTTATGGATAACAGATCACATACACGTGAGCACTGAGCAGTATGAGGGCACACATTACAAACTTTAACACCCCCACTTGTTCTCATACTGTGTAGATTACCATTATAATAACATAACACAAGAACAATCTTGTATCTCTCCTGGGCTGCATTTACATGCCAAACATAAGACTTTTGAACTTTTCAAGTTTAAACTTTGTTGCTGGTTTAGTCATAACATCAGCCACCATTTCTTCAGTGGGGCAATACTCAATTGTCACTTTACCATCACTGAGTGCTGATCGAATGAAATGATACTTTATATCTACATGCTTGCATCTTTGTCGACACACTGGGTTCTTAGACAGAGCAATGGCACCTTGGTTATCTTCAAAGATTTGTACTGGCTCAAACAGACAACCACTGTCCATGCCATTCAACAACTGTACAAGATACATGCTTTCCTGTGTGGTTGCTGCTAATGCCATGTACTCAGCTTCACATGTAGACAAAGCAACTGTGGACTGTTTCTTTGACTTCCAGGAAATTAAAGGACCATTTTGAGTAAGACTAAAACAGTATCCTGTCGTACTCCGCCTGTCATTTAGATCTGATGCCCAATCAGCATCACTGTATGCCACAAGTTTGAGATTTTCCTCACTTTTCTTGTAACATAGTTCAGAATCAATTGTACCTTTTAAGTACCTCATCACATGTTTCACTGTAGACCAGTGTTGTTCGTTTGGATTGGACAGATACTGCGACAACTTACTGACAATCCAACTTAGATCAGGTCTGGTACATGTCATCAGATAGATCAAACTACCCACTGCCTCACGATACCTTTTAGGATCAACAGGATCATCATCACTATTGTGGTCAAGTTTTTTGCTCACATGGTGTTGACCTGGGTTTACAGTCTGACATATTGAATCTCTCTAGTACCTTTAAAATGTACCTTTTCTGACTCATTTTCACGTACCCTTCATTCTGATGAAAATCAATTCCAAGAAAATAGTTTAGTTTTCCCAGATCTTTCATTTTGAATCTCGCTGTCAGCATCCTTTTCACACAATTCAGTGAATCATTGTTACTAGCAGCAATGATCAAATCATCAACCCAGATCACAACAATCACTCTCTCCTTTTCAGTTTGTCTACTGTACACACAGTGGTCAGCTGAATTTTGAACAAAATCATTTTCACATAGGTAGTCGTGTAATATTTTGTTCCAATTTCTACCTGACTGTTTTAACCCATACAGTGACTTGTTCAGTTTACAGACTAGTTTTTCACCTACATCTGACTTCACTTCAAATCCTTCGGGCTGTTCCATGTACATCTCACAGTCAATTGGAGCATGCAAATAGGCCGTTTTTACATCCATCTGATGAAGTTCAAGATCATATTGTGCTGCCATTTGCATTAAAGCACGTACGGAAGTGATATTTGCTGTTGGTGAGAAAGTCTCTTTATAATCTACCCCCATCACTTGACTATAGCCTTTTGCAACATATCTGGCCTTGTATGTCTCTGTCTCATCTGCGTTGTTTTTGATGGCATAAACCCATCTACCCCCACTGCATGTTTACCTTCAGGTAGCGTAGTTAGAGTAAATGTGTCATTTTCCTCAAGAGAATTAATTTCCTCTTTCATGGCCCTAGCCCACATCTGTGACTCACTTGAACTCATAGCATCCTTGAATGTTTGTGGTACACCACACACTCTGTAACAGAAGTCCACATTAGTCAGAATATGGTCATCACATTCCACATCAGAGACATAATCGGACAAATATTGAGGAGCTCTCCTGTTTCTCTGAGGATACCGCATACTGTGATCAACTACCACTGTCTGAGCACATTGCTGATTTTGAGTCTCATTTTTAGGTTTATGAGTTTCTTCTGGGATCTGATCAGTCGCATCTTCTTTTGACTGGGAGGACACATATCTTTCCTCATGGAAATCATCATCTGACATTGAAATGTCAGTCTGTGTTTGGTGTTCAGTAACACACTTTGTTACAAATGTCACAAGTCTGTGCTTGAGAACTTTTCCTGTGTCTGGATAATAGACCAGGTATGCAGGGCTGTTTTTGTCATACCCTACAAAGATCCCTTTTTCACATCGTGCATCTAACTTCTTTTTGTCCTGCTTATATGCGTAACAAGCTGAACCAAAAACTCTCATTTTTGAAAGATCAGGTTTTCTCCCTGTCAGTGCATAGTATGGGGTTTGCCGTATTCTGCCATTGTAGCACCTGTTGCGAATTACTGCAGCAGTCATTACGGCATACGTCCACAACATCTTGGGTAGATTGCTCTCTAAGAGCAAACATCTTGCCATTTCAAATAGCGTCCTCCAATTTCTCTCAGCAGTCCCATTTTGATGGGGTGAGTAAGGCGCTGAGGTCTCATGACGAATACAGTTCTTACTTAATAGAGACTGAAACTCTTTTGCCATAAATTCGGTGCCGTTGTCTGATCTAACACACTTTATAGTCCCATAAGGGGCTGTATCAGCGAGAAATTTTTCAGTAGCTTTCACAGTGTCACTCTTAGCTTTTAGAAAATACACAAACACTGAACCTGAGTAGTCATCAGTAAATGCAAGTGCATACTTGAAACCATCTTTAGCTACTGGGTCAATAGGACCAGCTAGATCTGTGTGCACTAG